ATGCTAAATCACGTGTTTATTTAATTTTATTGAAGGGCATTAATACAAGTAATTATGATCGTAAATATTTTTTTGGATTGTATTATAACGTGTTTTCCCGTGAGAATTGGATACTCTCCCGCCGTAAAAAGTAGCCCTTTAAAACTCTGCAGCCCTCCAGCTATCTCCAAACAAAAAATCACGTCAAGCCGTCATTTCGTTTCGACGTGAAAGAAGGACAAACTAACAAACACACTTTCATATTTATAATCTTAGTATGGATAATGTAATATATACTATATAGATATTTCTAGAAACAATGGCATTGGTACATACTACTATCAATCTATTAGATTATTTCATTGGACGAGTAAAAATTTCGAAACAAAAAATATTTGTTTAGGCAGACGTTAGCTCCTATTATCGGACGATTTGAATACGACAAGTTCTAAAACACACATGCAGTGACTTGCACATATAGAAATGTTAAATAGTAAATTTTCTAATTATTTATGTATGGTTCTTAACACTGCATTTGTATTAGTACATGTGTGTGTGTTTGTGATGCGCACGCGCATAGAAAACCATATATTACTAATTCATATCATGCGTCCAAGGAAAGTGGAGAGCTTCATAGTTTGTTAAGTGTTTAGCGTTCAAATTTAATCCCTATTAAATTTGATTTAAGCAATATAATTATGTAGAGTTCTAACAAGCTATATTTAGACAACGGAATCAATAAGCCTGATGGGTAACCAGCTGATCGTTATGATCCCACACATAACAAATTGACACTGACATTACAAAATACATATATGAATGATTGCTTACTTCTACCAGCATGATTAAACTCGCTTCGAGAGCCTTTTTACATGTACTTCGATTGTTAAGAATATTGTAGAGCTTATAATTGAGTTAGTTCTCTTTTCTGATTTTAAACAAAACTTTGTTTCACAGTTCCAAAACTACAAAATTTTGCTCGAATAAGGGTATCGTCAGATCTCCCGCAGCGTAAAGATAATAATGTAATTGTCGCGTTGCCAAATGCAAGTGAACTGGGCATCAGATATTGTGCAACTCTAGCTAAGAGAACTTTCACTTACGTGTTTTCAGTATTACATACATGAAAATAGTTGGATTCGTAATACGTATAAAAGTCTAACATACCGATACAATTAAATTTTATAGAAACGAACCATTATAAATTTAACGTACTTATAATTATTCATTATAATTTTATTTATTCATCATAATTTTATCTCATGATATTAAAATCTATACCGACTATCTCTTTAGCTTTTAAGCATCCAACTCAATGTCATACTTGTCACATACAGGATAAGTTGTAAGTACAGCATAATATGAAATAATTTCAATACAAAATTTGCTTCAAATATTTACCATGTCTTTATTTAATAACCTAACAGTACTTTGGATTAGACGTGTATATTTTGGCACGTAGGGTCAATGACCAATGCAGGATTCCAGTATGCATATCTGCAATTCATCTTGCAAGTGTCATGTACTTACAAAGTTTTTATGTTTAATTTTTGCTTCAACTCTTATATTTTATAATGTTATATAATAGCATAATAGTCTATAAAACCATATTGAAATTTATTGCCAAAACGCGGTGCCAAACATCTGATAAGAAGCTAATTTAATAAGCTTAAATATGAGGAACTATTAAATGAACCTTAAATGCTCCTCGCGATTCTTAATGACTTCACTTTGCTCATCATATTAAAAAATGTAAAAATAAAATAATCAATTTACGAACATTTCTCTGAGACATCAAGAAATAACACCCAAACTTTTCGTTTTTGATATACATGAATATAGTGAATACTAAAAATAAAGGTATAAGGTAGTGTATGCACAGTGTCTGTCTGTTGCCAGGGGGAGTGCAGACTAATTGCGATTCTGTCGGCAAGTAGACAAGCGCCGCTTGCGACATCCGCGCGACACGCGCAGCGTCATGTCTGGCGTAGATTGAGAGCCGGTTGATGAAAAGCTCACTGAGATATATACTAATCTGACTACTACTTTTTGAAACTGCTGGACAAATTTGGATGAAATTTTGGGTACACTAACTAGGAACTATGACCTATGTACTGAGTGAAGCGAGAGTATAAAACACACAAATTTACCCGCGGACTGTTAATATATACTGTTATTACTAATTTATAGGTACTGCTACAAATAATTTCCAAAAATTCGTAACATAAGTACGTTATTTTACAACGTGTAAATGTAATTTAAAAAACAAAACAAGTCAATATTTTCAATTTTACTGTCAATGATGTAAGAAGAACTTAAGAAACTTAAATCGAGTACGTATATGAGTAGCAATGTGCGAGGCCAGCTCTTGGTCTACGTACGCACGAAGCGCTCGCGATTCAACGTGCGCGCTAACAATTACCTTACGCAAGTGTTCGTTGCCATCGCACCGGACTTGCTATTCCGAGTGCGGGGGCCGGTGCCGGCGTCAAATAATACTGTTTTAATTATATAAGCTATTTATCCATGTCACTAGCAATTTCCTTTTAATCTACCTGCTTTCAGCAGCACTTCTCGTAATCTATAATTTTCAGTCTCTATTTTTTTATCCCCTAATCCAGTTTTGAAAGCTGTTGTAGTTCAGGCGATATTATTTCCAATTAAAATAGAATGTAGAGAATATTGATGTATAAACTCGTTACTATATAAATGTCTAGTGTCTACCCAAGCAACTAGATGTTTGGATATATTACAAATGGAAACAGCTTAATACCAAATCACAACAGAGTATCCTGCGCCGCAGCAATCCTAAGGGTAATTGAGAAGCCATCAAGGATATATGAAGAATGACTGAAGGAAACTAAAGATGTACACCTTGGTCGTATTTCCTGGCATGCCTCGGGCTGCCGTGCAACAGTCAGACTGACAGACGGTGCACACACTTGCAATGAATGCCTATTAACATACAATAATGGTCGACGCATTCTTCCTTACACGGAGACCAACGTCACAGGGTCTAGGGGGGCTGCTATTGCCAACTCTATATAAAGCAATTCTACGTATCGCAGCATAGTCTATTGCTATTCTGGGAACACCTATATAACTACATCGCAAAAACTCCAGTTGCTGACTACTTACCTGTATGAATTGTTAGGTTTTGTCCGCGAATTTACTTGCTATTATCTTATCTTAGAAATAACGATATATATTTATTTTCTTTTGTTATCCTATTATTAATATTATAAATGCGAAAGTTTAGATGGATGGATGATGGATGTTTGTTACTTTATCACGCCAGAACGGCTGGATACAATTTGACACAGAGATAGAATATAGTCTGGAGTAGCACATACTTTACTAGTGGTACTTTTTATCTCAGAAAAATGTACAGTTTCCGTGGGATACATTTGTTTTTGTTTTTCACAGAGCAAGAGATTGACTATCTATTCCATACTAACCGTTCAAATGTACCTAGGGACGAATCCAAACGAAACGAGGATGAGTCGCTAGTTCGCAATAAATAAGTTTCTGCTCTACCCGCAGGAATCATAGAAAATGTAGAGCTTTACTATATACATTTTATTAATCCATAACTAATGTTATCTATATGGATATAAAAAATTATCCTATACAGGAAGATCCACGCCACATTGAATTACTTTAACACATTTATATTTGCAAAATATTCAGTCACGTATTAATATGTTTTAGTTATTTATATAATGGGTAAAATAACATAAGTGTACAATACGAGTACATACATACCTTAACAGAAGCGAATGTTAAGCCAACGGCTCTGGAGTTTTAATTCTACGAATGAAACACCGAATGCTTCCAAGAATGGTTCCTGCAGTATAACCGTTTAAGATTAAGACTACCGTAATCACGATGACTCAGTCAATTTGTAAACATGAATGTATTATAAAATTTCATGGTTTTTTTTTCGTGTAAAATATTTGCATATGATCAACTGTAAAATCAATTTAAAATGGTAGGCCTCAAAAGTATATTTTATTGAGGAAAAATAATTAAATAAAGCAAAAGTCGACTGTCAATTTCATTGCATTGTTTTTGCCATTAGCTGTCAAAAATCATTACGTCGCTAATTAAAATTCATTTTCTTGCGCCGGCGCAACCTTGCAGCTATAACATTGGCTCTGCAAGACGAAAGCGATAATTACCAGCGCATGATATTATAGCATTTGTAGATAACCCATATATTTGAACTTTCGGGCAAAAATTAAATAATTTATTAATAAAAAAATTGATAATTAGGTCAATGTAAGCAAAGATTTTACTTATTTTTTTATACTAAACAAAGATCCTACTATTGACGCATCTCTATCATAAAAAATGTCACTCTTGAACTTCGATCAGATTTCATGGTTATCGACTTTAATTCCGCTTTATATAAATTCTTATGAAATACTAAACGACGACGGATTCGTAGCTTTTAATAAATAAGTCAAATATATGTATATAATTTAAAAAGATATAGATATCTGATAAATAGATAAGTGTTTTAATGAAACTATCTTTTATATTTGTTTTAACTTTTAAGGAAATTAGTCTATTATATGAAACGTTGTTCGACGAACTAACTCTAGTAGCACTTTCATCGATTTGCAGAAAACGCGAGCCTGTCACCGGAGACACGTATGACGTGCGATGCCCACTATTACAACAATGCCGGCGAACTAACATAATCAATCGAATATTAAAATCATAGGTATTGAGATACCTTAAATAAGTAAATTTATTCAAAAAGATATTTATTTTCAATATAATATGTATATTTCATGGTTTTACAAACAAAAACATGACCCGGCGACTGTCTTACAACTTTGTACTTTAACTACGCAACTAGTCTTTTTCTAAAATTGTGATAATAGCAGTTGCACTTTAACATATACTTGATTAAAATATGATAAACGAATGATGAATATTTACAAAAAATAAATAAATAAAGACAATATTGTAAAACCTTAATAATAATTCTTGTATACAAGCAGAAAACTTACCGTTTTGCGTCGATTTTACACGAGCTTTGAACACTTGGCTGTGGTATTCGGCTGGGGGCAGTTCTGTGGCACGGGTATATCGTGGCTTGTGGCACGTGTGGGTCGGAGCAACTAGCACGTATATTATGGCTCGGCGTCAAGGCGTGGCCATCGCGTGCGGACGCGGTGGGAGCCGGGGCGCGAGTGTCGGGTGCGCTGCGCGGAAACGGCCTTCCATGCAGCGACCTGCATTCTGCGGTGATTTGCGATCATCGCGGGGTCATCGACACTTACCTAATTTCTAATTAACTTATAGGTATTAATATGTCATTTTGTTAAATTAAAAATGTTCGTTCAATTATGCTAAAACTATATTGTAAGATAGCAGCACCTTCTGTCTTCGCTCACGTTTATAAAAGTATTTTTTTTAATTAAAATATTTGTATTTTATTTAAAAATAAAAAGTAAATCATTTAAATATTTTTAGTACTTGCTGTCAATACTTAAAGCTAAAATATCTAATTTTTTTCGACTCTCGGAAAAAATACGTATTAATATATAAAATGCAAGAAGATAGTTTTTTTTAATTCTCCAATCCTACTGAGATTTTCGTGCCTAGTCCTACTCAGTTTTTCATAACTTCTCTTTTAAGTCGTAATTCAATTTTTTGGTTGTTTAATTTTTGGTCCGTAATAAATAAATGCATAATTTCTTTACAGAACTTCAGCCAAGACCTGTTGATGGTAGAAACCTCCCAAAGCTGACTCAAACAGAACGTCCGAGAACAATCCGCCGGTATTTATCTAACGCAGGATCAAACCAGCACCTGTGAGCCTACGATGTAGAATTTCGTAACTACTGAGTCAGTGTAGCTATCAATATTATATAACATGTATTACGATTCAAATATGTCCATACTATTTCTACTTTAATAAAAACTATACATAAATATTTCATTGCTTCAGTCTATGGGCTTAAATATTTTCCTTGAAATATGTATATTTATTTGTAATCATGATTCTACGAACAGTTACAACGACACTATATTAATATCAGTGAATTCGTTAAAATAGAATATCCTGTAATTTATTAAAATACCTACTGGTCGATTCTTTTATATAAAAATGAGCGCATGTGTGTCTGTTTATCTTTTTGTATGTTAGTAAATATGCATTTCTTTTTCATTTACCCCAAAGGGTAGTAAAACGTACGGTAGGTGGTGTACGAATTACATAGAATTATTTGAGATTTGTTAAAATGTATAGATTAATGCCAAGGTGGGTCACTAGTGTTAATTATTTATAGATAACTAGCGGCTCACCCTCGCTTCGCTCGGGTTCGCCTCTAAAAAAACACTAATAGAGATCTATTTGTTCCCACGGGTACCGTTCATTTTTTCCGGATGAAAAGTAACCTGTTGTTTGACCGGCAATATAAGGTATCAGAATGTTAAATTTTACTAAATTAGATGCATAAGTTGTATAAGTTATTATAATATTTACAACTATCCCACGGGAACTATTTAATTTTCTGGGATAAAGAGTATCTAAGATGTTGCCCGGGGGTATAAGGTACTACCATGCAAAATTTCATTTAAATCGGTCCAATAGATTCGGAGATTAGCCCGTACAAATAGACAAACAGACAGACAGAGAAACAAAAAATTTGAAAAAAAACTGGATTTGTTCTATTTGTCTTCTTACATCCCCCTGACTCGGTTTTTAACATTTTTTGCTTTGTACAGACATTCGACCTCTACTGTTTTACTGTAGTATAGACATTACAGATACTGAGAAAAAAAGCCTTTCTCAGAACGCTTCTAAAATATTTATCCTTAACTCTATCTTCATTGACGTAGGCTTCAAGAATTAAATAATCAATGATGGAAAACTAATATTTTGCAAACATACTTTGCCACTCCTTTTCATGAATTCAAAGCTCTAGAGCCTACTGAATTTTGCCACTTCTTGAATACTGGTTTTTTATTCAGTATGGTAGAGTAGGGTGGCGCAAAATTTTTTTTTACTTCGTCTCGTATAAAAATATGTTAGTTTTTCATATTTTAAGATTTTTCTTAAATATCAGCTTGGAATAAATCTTTTTTGCGGTCGCACAAGATTTTTAAAAATTCTAAAAATGGCTAAAATTGTTTTTTTTTTAATTATTTTATTTCTTCCTGCCATTGTCATTTTGTACGTAATGTTACATACATTATATAACCTAAAAAATAGTAACTTCCTCAAAATTACTTCCTAAAAAAAATAAGCAAACCGTTGCCTAATCAGCGATGATAATATCAAGTAATACTCGTATACCAACAAAAAACAAACAGATAAATAAATAATCTTATTTATAATCTATTTATAATCTTAACAGAACAACTTCTCTTATGTACTCAATATTTTTAATAAATGCGAAACAAACAATGAGACAGTGTGTTGTTAAAGGATATAATATATATGTATGTACATAAAAGAATGCATACTCGCATATAAATTGTAAGCTAGAAAAATGACATCAATGTTATTATTTTTCTATTAATTTCTAGTATTTAATAATTAACGTTATATATTTCTACCACATTATATTTATTTACCTTAAGTTTGAAAGATATTCCTAAAAATTGATTATTTTTACTAATAAATAATTTGTCTAATTATACAACTGGATCATACAAGCTGTTTTTGATCCACGTGAATAGGGCCGCGTGTAAGAACTAGTTTGCTAAATAATATATATAAAATAAAAAATAAATCACATATAATAACAACTTTATTGTGGTAAATATATGGTAATTGGTGTCGGTTATGGGAAAGAATGAGTCATTATTCGATGTGTGACGTCAATATAAAAATTCATCTTGTTAGAAGATCGAAGAGGCATCTCTACAGCAATGAAAACAATGTCCGAAGATGTAGGTAAGTTCAAAATATAATAAATATATTAACAATAATAGAAGGAAAATTGATTTGTATTTAGTTTTGCTAACGTAATTTTTGAATGGAAAAATAAATACAGGAACTGTGCGTGTGCACAGTGGGTGATTGTGTCAAATAAGGTTGACAACTATTTGTAAAATATATATAATAGCAGATCAAAATGAGATTAAATAATATCTACCTATATACCTGCTATCGCCCTGCGCGGAAGGATGGTGAGTCAACAATATTTTAAAGCGTGTGAAATGTATAAAGGCTAGTTGATGATAAGAAATATAGAGATTAGATATTTATATATATATAACTAGCGACTCACCGCTCGCTCCGCTCAGGTTCGTCCTTACTTACGTTTTAATGTTTAGTATAGATTTCTCAGATATGAGTTACTTTTGCGTAGTAAAAAGTATCCTATATGTTGACCCGGACAACCAGCTATCATCATACCAAATTTCATCAAAATCAGTGGTTTTTCCGTAATGCGGTCACAGACCTCCGTATCGATAATAATGTCTATTTCAATAAGATTTTCCAAGAAATATTTAATGTATAAATCTATACACGACTTAGTCACAAATTTATTATATGTATAGATTATAATAATAGATTCATTTAAATAACAAAGTTATTATCCAGTCATATTCCCCACCGAAATAAGAATATTTTTTAATTTCAAAGTTTCGCCATTATTTGCGAAGCTGTTGAAGACGGTAAAGCCATTTTTTGAATAAACCTTAAACTTAACAACTGTACCGGTAAGATCGCCGACTCGAAGTAATATTAATAGGCATAACTTTATCTATTTCCATCGTAACTGCACACATAGCTTATTACACCAATTAATTGATTGGACAAGTTTACAGCAAGATTCTGAGAGAGTAATTACAGTAGCTAATGATCGGATCACTGCTACCATTTCCTTAACGACAACCGTCATAATTCATAAAATACAGGTAAAATGCGTATTTTCTCTCATTTGCAGTTAAAAAATTAAATATAACAAGAGCAAATCTATCATTATTTTTATTTAACGAGCAGTAAGCTCGTTTTAAATAGTTTATATCTATTAGATAATATAGAGTTTAACGACTTACAAGGGATTTCTAAGTGATTTTCTAAATTAATTAATCTGTTGGTATTATACCCGCGTGGGAAAGTCGTAAGAGATGTATTAAACGCTTTTTAATAGCCAGAATGCATTTCTTTAATAAGTTTGACTTAAATATGTAAATTACATTTTTTTGAATCTCAATGTATATATTAGGTATATCATTTACTAATTTACAATATATGTAAATAAAGGTAGCTCAAGTAAACGAGCTTAATGAAAAAAAGCTCATATTCAAGGTCAATACGCTGCTCAAAAAAAAAACTGTTCTAAATTTTCATGTAAATTGTCACATCAAAAAGTCTATTGAGAATAAAATTAAAATTAAAATCAGGAATGTTAGATATATACGAGTGAAACATGCACGAGATGAGATGCAGCAGCTGGATGTTTTGTAACTGGACACTGTGCGGTTTTGAGATGTCATCCGTATTATTTACGCGGAAAATAACGATACGTGACTGTTTGGTTAGCGTCCAATAACGCGTAGTAGGCGGAGGGATAGAGAATTTAATATTTCATATTATCTAAGCGTACACTGCAATACAAAGTATAAGTAAATTGAGGCTTCACTTTTTTTTCTTTAATGGCTTATAGTTGAGGCTTCTTTATATGGCTTAATAACTCTACCTAATACTTTCTTAGATTTACGCGAATATTTGACATTTAAAATTATTTTTATTTAATAAAACTATCTTTTCGGATTTTTTCGCGGATTTATAACCTATCTACCTATGTACTTTGAAGATTTGGCTTTCATGAATGAATACTTGTTTTGACCATAAAGTGTAATCTAAATATATTTAAACTGTTACAAAGCCAGAAGTGTACAGTTTGTAGAGTTTTTGTCCGTTTGTTCTTACTTCACTCAAGTTCGTCTATTTTAGCTACTTCTGTACAAAGCATGGTATATAGTCATTGCGGAGTAATAGAAATATTTATATGAACAAAAGTGTTGTCACTTCAGGCAGTATCTAGTATCCCCCCCCCCAACGTGCGTTCACCTTGTCGTGGTGGGGGGGGGCTCAGTAGTGCCCAGCAATCCAACCGGGCGGGAAGCCAAGAAACGCACAGGGAGGTGGCCCACTTCGGACTTCGGTGGGCGGTGGGAGGTGGCCCTCTTCGGAGAGAGGAGGTACTTCTCTGATAGCAGAGTGGACTGTGGAGCAACCCCGTGGTTGTTGTGGTCTGCTTCGGCAGACCTGCCGTCGGGGTGTCGTAGTTGAATGCGTAAGCGATCCTGCGACGCCCCATTAAGACGGGGGAAGGTTTTGTTGGGTTTTAGTGGGTAGTACTGGCTTCGCCGGTGAGTCCCACACCTCGTGCGTAAATGCATTTCCCAACGTTAAAAAAAAAGTATCTAGTATACCTACAGATATTAAGATACAAAGCAATTTACGTTTAAAGCTTCTTTTAAAAAGCGGAATAAAATTAAGTATACATAGACTATTCATATTAAGACATTTAATGATTCATTACAATTTCACATTTGTGTCTTGGTCGTTGTTATTCATCATAAAATATATTCAAAAAAAGTCAAATGTCACGGTTCCACTCGCGCATGGGGCAAATATTTAATTAAGTTACATAAATATTTAAATCGAGAAACATGCGGAACTATCTCCCGACACAGCAGTCGGAATGATTACTGCAAGCCTTTATGTTATCCAATAACTTGGCTTCTAGAGTATTAGTTAAGTCTGTACACTATAGATGTTTAATTGCTGACGAGGCAACTTGTAGCGGTTTACAGAAACTCGTGGTACTAGCAAAGTATTTGGCTTAAATCAGTTGTTATTTTCACTTCACTTCTCTTTACTACACATTTTCTCTTCTTTGTATTTTTCTAAATATTGAGTTGACTCAGCGCTGGATTTAAACTAGGAGCACTTAGGGCTAGTGCTTAGGGCGAAAAAATTTCAGGGGTGGCAAAATTCGAAGGAGAAAATATAAAAAAATCTTCGCGTTATCGAAAATGTTTTTTTTTTTATTTTCCAAAAAATGAATAATTAAAAAAAATATCATTTTTTCATTTATTAAAAATTTAAAAATTGAACTTTATCGAAACTTTATCCATTTTTAAATAAAACTATCTTTTGTAATTATTTCGCGGATTTATTTTGATTTTTGGTTCCCGACGTTTCGAATGCTTTACAGCATCCATGGTCACGGGAGAGACTGAGGTGTTACATGTCTTGAAGGTATAGTTGTTACAGACAGCCTTCAAGACATGTAACACCTCAGTCTCTTCCGTGACCATGGATGCTGTAAAGCATTCCAAACGTCAGGAACCAAAAATCAAAATAAATCCGCGAAATAATCCGAAAAGATAGTTTTATTTAAAAATGTCAAACATTCGCGTAAATCTAAGAAAATATTATTTATCCATTTTATGCAAAATTTCGATAATCGGGCGGGAACTCTTACATTGCCCAGGGGCGGCGCTAAGGCTAAATCCGGCACTGGACTGACTCGACTATATTAACAACACACTATTTGACAAACTATCATTCTACATAAAAAAGGACATCAGTAATCAAAAATTGAAAAATGTTTTAAAAATATTATTTTTTTAGAAAATGTCTGTCCCCTTCTCACTCAGGAAACATTACCTAGCTTTTCTTGTTGAATGTCATACACACGGTGACAACCGTCTTCGCACCAATACTTAACATGGCTCAGGCTATAGCTATTTTAGTGTTAAGACGTTCTGATCTCACAAAAGAGATGGAAGGTGAATACATATATATGAACTCCTGATTTATATGTACTTTTCAATTATTATAAATTCGTAAATATTAGTAACAATTCTCATTTTAATTGAAACCAGTAACATGTAATAAAAACCTCGCACCGGACGATATTAACATCATAAAATGTACCAATATAATTCTTTTGGCGTTTAATTAATCACTTTTATTGATATACAATACAAACAACAGATAACTTAGTAACATCCATTTCCAAGCATTTCGTCAGTATTACGTTACGCCGGCCTCGCGGGGCGCGCCACGGTCCGCGCCTCTAGCGGCACTCACAATGTCATCACTGTGACTACAATGTCTATATGTATTCATATCCATTGATTGCTTCATTGGTTGTTACTTCCTAGTAAAAAGACCGAGCTAAAACATATCGTAAAGATTGGGAAATCAATGCAGACTCTTCAAATCACACAGCACGTAGCATTAAGCGCATTAAGCTCAGTCCTTAGACTCTCTCTGTCTTTGTTCGTATGAATTAGCATGAGTGAACAGGAAAAACATTTTTTTTGCGTATATTCGCATTCGGAAGCCCCGGGTAGGCTCTATGAGTCGCTTAAACTTCTTTCAAGTCGTCTGAACTCTAATCAAAAATTAAAGAAAAATCCTTGGTTTTGAAACTTCAGTTTTTAATTTTATAAGGCGATCGCTTTTGCATTTTTATTATAATACATTTTGTTGCATTGTATATAAATTTTTCATGAAAACTTAATTAATTAAACAGACGAAAACTTGCAAAGAGATAAAAATAATTTGTTATTTAAATAAATTATTCAAATGAAACCTTTGAAATTCAGAGCTTCAAAACGAGCCAGACTCTACCCCTGCACTCCTGTGTATTAGCCTGAAGGTAAACAGCAATTTCAAACCATTAGGGTGTAACTGGTAATAAGTTAGTCGGTCAACTAGCGACTAACCGTTTTAGAGACTCATTTCACGCTTGACTCTGTTGATGAAGGGATAAATGAACTTTGAGGCTTAATCAGATTACTGTGCGGCTGATTCAGATGCGGCTCTACCAATTTCTTCTTTTTCTTATAAAACCGGAAGATATTGGTAACCAATTATACTTCTTTGGGGGCAAACTTTAACAATACCTTCTCTTGGTAGTAACCTACCTTTTGCACTCAGAAATATGCCGTAATTTTAGCCACAAGTTTTAAACAAATAGTCAAAAATATTAAAACATAGACGAACACATATTTCCAAAGTCCTGTAATTTATATTATTAAATACTAAAATTCGTTCGCATTTTTGTCTGCATTTCACGTAAAAAAATAATTTTAATCTAGGTAGTTTTCACTGAACCTAGATTTACATTAAATGTATAAAGAATAATAAAAGTTTTTTAGGGTACTGTACCCGAAGGATGACAACATGGTGCAGCGCGTGTCCGCGGGTACAAGTATCTCTACCCGGTACTCGGACCCAGGACCTTGAAATCTCTAGACGTACATGCTAGCCACTAGACCATCGAGACCCACATATACTTTTTATAAATATATGTATATCTACAATATCTATCAATATATAGAGCGGCAAGTAGCAAGTTCTCGGCTATTTTAGCGAAGGTTATTTTATGGATCAGCTGGCGCCGAGCGGCGAGATGAGCGCACACGCCTCGCTGGACCAGCCGTAAATGTCATGATATAAATATGTTTATCGATTGGAGGTTAACTATAGTATATGAAATCAGACTACTATTGTAAATGCTAAAGTTTGTATGTGTATTTTTGTTACTTATCACGCTGTAACGTCTGAACAGAATTTTATGACATTTAGTACAGTTATAGTAGACCTAGAGTGGTTCATAGGTTACTATTAGGCTGTTAGGGACTTAAATAACCCTAATGCTATGTATTAGTTCCGTTTCAAAAACACGCACGCACACACAGACACGTATTTGTTCTTATATATTTTGCTCTTGCTCTCATTCTTTAACATCAAATCGTTTCAGTTGACCAGAATTTACTCCATCAATATCAGGTAGATGTTATAATATGCGATGGAAAATTAGTCGATGTAAACTGAGAATATAATGCTTTAAAGGGACAGAACATTTTTCTATAGATACCGGTATTAGCTACCTATACTACTATGTATGTAACACGTAATTAGTCCATTTTTAATTAATTATTAGCTATTTTTACCTTCAAATATGTCGGAAAGTGACATTTTAGGGCATCATATTGCCGTTTTTTTACTTGTTAAGTATTTTCTACACATGTACCTATTATGTATAACAGGTTTCTGGCTCGCCAAAAGTTAAGAAAAAAAAAATAAAGTGATGGAATGACGGCAATGTCACAAAGATTTTATCCCCTTTGATATGCAAGTATACAAATCAAGTCCCGGGTGTCGCACCTCTGATATTTTAATATGCGAATCATTTTCAATTTATCTTGTGATGAAGAAAAACATCGTGAACAAACCTATATTATGTCTAAGAGAACCTAGCAAGTTTTTGAAAGACAATTGTGAAGTGCGCATACACTTGAAGAAGACCCGAATCCCGTTAAAAAAGAGCTGACAGCAAAAATAACTATGCCTATCTGTTTATTACGACAAAACTTCTAGAGAGTTCGAATGACTATTTCAATGAACATTATCAAGCAAAATTATAAAACCTAATAGCAATTAACGAACATAGCACACGCTGATTTCGTTTGACTTCAGCGTATGTGCAAAGCAAATATGCTTAATCGTGCGGTGTCAAATATCACAAACCTCAAAATTGTTACTTGTATAGAGACAACATATCTATAAATATAATAAACCTCTTAAAGAGTACGTTTTTTTCTAAAATAAAAAAAAAAGTGCGTAAGGACATATTTTGGAATGCCCAAAAGTTTCTAGTCTAATCTTAATTTTGTCTGTCTGTTAATGTTCGTTTAATATATTGCGCACTACTGGAGAACAGATGAAAGAAACTATGAAACTTAAATAAAATTATTTAATAACATGGTTGAGTTTATAACCTATGATCAAGTAAATGTAAAGGATACAACATAAGCTGTATGAGTAAGATTATATTATGCTGTTATGCGCTGCCAGACAAATAAATAAATATAAATAAATATGTTAGGACGTTACACACAGCACCATCTGGTTCCATGGTAAGCTACGAGGCTTGTGTTATGGATACCAGATAATTGATACACTACACATATATAACTATAAATACATATATATTATAAATAAAAACATCCATGACTGAAGTACAAACATTCGTCATCACACACATGAATGCCCCCAGCGGGGTTCGAACCCGCGACCGCTGATACAGCAAGTAGCGTCAGTACACACTGAGCCAAATGTTTGAAGTAAATGCCTAATTTTTGTAAACTAAGTAGAAATAAATCAACACGCGGGCTTAGCCTAGCTAAGTAGGATAACTTAAATGGTACATCTGCTATAAAATAAGTTATTTAGACAACGTTATCTACTTAGGTGTATATAAGTGTAATAATTGCATCGTCTGTCGGCCCAGCGGTGGCGTGACTGGCGACTGAGTCAGCGGGTCGTTGACGCTGACTGCACTATTTAAGCCTTATGCAACTTTTTCTAAAACAACAAACCACTAGGTAATAATAATTTTATTAACTTACTAGTGACACACCCTCGCTATGTTCTAGCATTCCTAAGAAGCGCATAAAAGAATGGAAAGTTCAAGGAGAAATTATTATGTTAAATAAAACTATGTTTTCGGATTATTTTGCGAATTCATTTTGATTTTTAGGGTGTCGACGTTTCGAATGCTTTACAGCAATCATGGTCACGGGAGAGACTAAGGTGTTAGACGTCTCAAAGGCTTTACATACTTGTTACAGACAGTGCCTACCCACAATTTTACAAAATGATTTCAAAATTTCAAAAATGGCACCAAAGTAGTTCTCTCAGCACCTCAGAATATTTGTTGATTTTAATTCTGTACTTTTTTTTTAATATGTATTATGATTAAATATAGCAATATTATTTATTTAATTTTAGCTGTTATTATTAGAAATATTACATTTTTTTTTTAAATGAATTTTTTAATCTACTTGACGTATTATACTTAAAGCGAAAAATATTTTCAACCAACTTTAATTAGTTTTATATTTTGCAACTATGTAATCATAATATCTTGTAAGTTCTTCTATATCTTTTTTACTCGTCTCCTTTTTTTACTCATTTTCGTATTGACTTGGACCTTTCTATGTGAAATCCGAAGGTGAAAAAATATTAGATCAATTTGATATCAGCGTGCTGATTTTATTATGGTTAGGTGTATAGCGGAAGTCTTCAAGGGTTGGAAGTAAAACCTGTGAATTTCAGCTTGTTTCACTATTCAGTTTTTTAAAACAATAATGAATACTATTGAATATGAGAATATTATATTACAATTAAGTGTACAACTTATGAAGCGTATCTATAAATTCCGTCCACACTGACGCATGTATTATATACTATCTATAGTCAAGAACAATGAGGATTTCTGTACGTATACGATGACGTCAAACCATGAATCGTTAAGGACTGATAGTGGTAGAAGTGTCCTGTCCCTTTGCTCTACTTACATAATTCCATTCAAAAAAGTTTCATACTTAAAATACAATTCGTAATCAAACAATTATTTAATGTAGGAATTTTAACTGATTTAATAAGTAATGAAGTATAGCTTAAAAAAAGAAATATCTAAATATATGAAGGCTATAATCAAAGAATAATTTCAACAAAATTTCATTACATATTTTAAACACGCGGTAATAGAGAATAGAAGATATAAAAAATCTTGCAGTAGCCTGCGCTTTTACTAAGATTTATATAAAAAATACCTTTTAAATAAAACTACTTTTTCGGAGTCCAAGCAATTTTAGGAATCAGCAATTGCTGTAAAGCATTTGAAACGCCGGAAACAAAAGTCAAAATAAATCCGCGAAAAAATCCGATAAGATTAAGAATGTAAAATATTCGCTTATATCTAAAAAAGTATTATAAAAACTACCTATTAACTATCTCATCCCGGAATCTCTGTTACCTATTACCCGTGACTGAATGAAAATATATTTATAATATATTATTTATAGACGTAAATAATCGAATACCTATACATGTTATTTTCAATCTGTTTCTATTAATTACATACTTGAAATTCAAGTATTGTTTTATTATACTCTAAATCTAAAACATCAAAATTTCAACAAAATATATACAATGGAACAAGAATTTATGTAGAGCTCAAAGCAACTAAATCAATTGTTAAAGCTAAGAAATACCACCCGTTATGTAAACGATGATAAAACTCGAAGTTCAGTGGAGACGGCCCCAAGGATCAACAAACTTCAAACAAT